GGTTATTTCAAGCCCAGCCGAAGCCAGGATATCGTGGTATGCTGCATCTCCCAATTTGATGATCGTACACTCCCAAGATCCAGCAGTCATCGTGTCAGCAGCTAGGTGACTCAAACAAAAAAGCAACACATACATTGCCACAGCTTCACACATGCCCTCGTCCGAACCTAGCAAGCCACAAGGAAGTCACGAGGGAGCCAAGTCCTGCTCGCAGGTTCTCTTGGCTTTCCTTCAGGTGAACACGTCCAGGAATCCAGTATCCGCAGCCGCCGCATAAGTGCTGTGCTGTGTAGTAGTAGCAGGAAATGTATCCAGGTTGTACCCACCTGTTGTCCAAACAATGATTGATTTGTGATTCCGTGAGAGAGGGAGTTACCACCGCCGTCGAAGGGTCGAAGGCACTGTCTGCCAGATGTAGGCTGTGAGATAGATGGTGCCACCTATGGGTTCTCAGCCTGCCCGCCCGTGAGGGTCGTGACGAGGCCGTCATGTGCGTGTGTGTGTGGCAGTTAGTTGGCCGCCTTCTGTCTGTCCTGTAGTATCATCTCTCTGGGGCCAATCGAGCATCGCCTGTCGTTCTCGTTCATGTTGTGGTCGGGGTTGCGGGTGCTCAAATCGTACGCAGAGTGCATCCATCCAGATCCCCAAGCCGTCCTCCATCCACAACAACAACAACAACAGCAACAACAGCAACAACAACAACATACAACTGCAGTGAGTTTTGTGGGCGTCAACTCTCCTCCTGTGTCGGTTTGTGGGGGACACGGCGCGGTCTCCGCCATGTAGAGGCGAAGTAGGCCTAGGATTTCGCGAGCTACGTATACCACTGTGACACAATAACACAAGCACGCACAACAAGTAGGGCTGAGGGTCGGTGCGGCGGGCGAGAGGATACATGCGTGTGTCGCCCCATCGTGTACTTCAAAGAATATTGCAAATAGATGACAACAAGATCTTTCAGGGAATTTGCATGTGCGGTGTCCCCTCCTTGTAAAAACGCCTTCAGCATTTCAACCGGCTCTATCGGGTCTTGGAGTCTTGGCCCCACGTGTCCCAAGAAGGGCAAACTCCAACTGCTTAAAGTCTAAAAAATAGAAGGTACACGTGTGTGTCTTGCGACCACAAGAAGAGGACGCCAATAGGACGACCTTCCGTCCACAACCCCCGACATTGTTAGCATGTCCATGGCGATGGATCGACAAGCACGGCGATGCATGTCGGGGGTTGTTATCCTTCTTGCAGCGATGCAGGTACGTTGGCTGCGCTGTGGCCTACCGTGTTTTTTCTCGCTCTCTGTTTCAAGATGGGGTGTGTGTGTAGGCACGCTGAAGATAGATGGTAGGTGAATACGCACGGAAACTCGACCACCATCGCAGACAGATTCAGACCTGGAGTTTTGCTTTCGGGAACGAGCGCGAGGCCCTCTGCGCATCATGCGAGCCGGCGCTCTGCAAAGAGAACGTGCTGCCCGCAAGTCGCGCATGAAGATACGGAAGTGCCTCTGCCTGCGGTGTCGCCATGGCCTTGTCGCCCCATGTTGTTGTCTCCGCTTCTTGTTTCTGCTGCTACTTGGTCGACAGGCGGGAGGGTTTTTTTGTTCGATGGGGCCGGCGCCGCCTGCGGTGGGAGGTGGCGGAGTAGCGCCCAGCGCGGCTGGAGGACCGCCCCGTTCGTCGTGTGGAGGTCCGGCTCGCGCAGCGGTCGTGTCGATGCCGCACTTGGGTCAGGTGAGTTGCGAACGAACGCAAAACTTCCCCTCGCGCAACAGAAAGATGATTTTCAAGGCGCTACATGATGAAGAAAGGCAGATGGCCCCCATTTTCCTCGTTGCTCCACCCAAACCGTTGGGTTCTACAGCACGGCTAACAAAGCTTTGTTTCTTCGTGCACTGAAGTGGTGTTCGCGGCTCTCTCCCTGTTGTACGCCCGCGACTGTCTCTGCTAGATCTAGGCGGTGATTTCCTTGTGCAGGCGAGTTTTTCGTTTTCTTCCTCGTCCGCCGTTTTTCGCCGTTGGTCTTTCTTTCTACGTCATGTGCGCGCACACATGCGTGTGGACGCGAGGCCTACCGCCCTCTTCCG